CGCGTCATCGCGCGCGTTGTATAGTGCGGCCATGAGCGGAGAGTGCTCGATGGGCATTATCGACTGGAGCACCTGATATGAATTCAAGCGAAGACAAGACATCATGACGGGTGATTAAAATTGTCTTCTGCTCTGATACTTGTGTTCAAATGGCCAAGCAGACCAACTCGTCTGTCGAGCGCGGCGTCGCTCGCCGCGCCCTCCAGTCAGGTAGGTATATTACAATTGTCCTACCACATATACCCTGACCAGGCGATATGTGACGTCTTGCACAGCGAAAGCCTTTCTATAGAAGATGGGACGCCCCACTGATAAAATGGGGCAAAGGCAGTTGAAGGAGACGGGCGGCGGCTACGCTCATGCTTTGCAGCAGCGTCCAGCAGCGAAAAGCAACGTCCACCAGCGACTATCACCGTCACGAGGGACTAGGGAAGTATGGGTAGCGATCTAGCGTCTACCAGTGACCACCAACGACCATGATCAGAGAGTGCGGGGTATAGGAAGTAGGGGGAAGAAGACAGCTAGATCAGGCACCGTGAAATCGTGGCGTGTGTAAGTGCCGCGTACTATTACGCGATACCGTACTCCTTGTCGCTGGTGGACGCTAAAGCAAAGAATGAAGAAAGCCGAATAGGTATTCACCAGGGTACGTCGTATGTTCGCGGGATTCAGCGGGGGATCGTATTTGATCGTTGGAGGGAGAGAGTCGTACTCGCCTTTGTGAGAAGTGCCTTCGATTGTTGACTCGTCTTGGTTTTTCTGCTCCAGCGCTACAATACGCCCCTCCGCCGTCCAACGGCAGTTTTTTCAGGGAAAATTTGGAACGGAGTCCGAATAAGTGGTAAAAAGTTGGGAAAGCTTTGGAAGTTGGCAAGGCGTATAGAGGATGCAGTCGTACAAGAGAAGGGAGTTTTGAGGGATGGGGGGGTCGAATTTTCAGAAACATTTCAACAACTCACCTCATTTTTCGGGAGGTGCCCTGGTGCACCCATCACTTTCCTGTTCAGTCAAAAGCGCAGAAAATCTTACATGAGGCGGAAACCTCATTTCCTCACCCCCCCCTCCCCAACTTCACTCACCAGCTGCGCCATATCCAGTGTTCAGAAATCTACGTCGCCCTGTCTACCACATCTTTATAAAAAAACCGTAAATGGATCGAAGGCGATGGTGCAAAAGCTCTCACCTTCTTCTGCCGCCTGCTTGAGAAATTTCGCACCATCCATGGTAATCACCCGATGTAAGTCATCCAGCACTAGGTCAAACCATTTGAGTGCGAGCTGCACCATCTTCGGTTCAATTTCCACCACGGTAATGTTCATCTGGAACAAGTACTCCGTGCACCAGTACTTCTTTGAAGGGACAACATGCCGTAGAAGAGGTACAAAGGAGCAATATTCATTGAAGAAGCCAAAAGCCAGCCTAATGAGAGAACCTGAGGTGCAATTTGGCTTGGTGGGGGCATACATTGTACTCGGCTGAGAATGTACAAGTCACATTGTGAGGATGTGTCAATTTCTGCGACTAAAATGGCTCACTGGAGCGATTTTAAAGAAGGCAATATTTCATAGGAACTAAGCCCAAAACTTTCAGCCTAATGACTGAATGCCAAAGTGGCCATTGGGCTCCGGTGAGGTGTGTCTTACATGTTGCTCGGCTGAGAATGTGCAAGTCACATTGTGAAGACCTGTAAATTACGTCGACCTAAATGGCTCAGTGGAGCGATTCGTAGCTTCACAGGATTTACAGGAATGACTCAAGTGAGACCTGAGAACATGAACTAACAGAAGGATCTAGCGACTGTGCCAAATGCCCCTCCAAGCCAAACAGCGCCGAACTCACCACACTTAGAAGACTTCATCAAGGATTTACACCTCGCTGAAAAATTGTTTCTGTCTGGTTACAGCATGTCGCGAAAGTTACGAGGCAGAAAACTGACGAGAGAGGCGGAGTGGACCACCCCCCATAGGGTAGAAGCTGTCTAAGTCTTCGATAACAGTGTTTTTGGTCAGTACACGAAATAAAGACGGAAGCACAGCATGTAATACGCTGGGGAATCCTGAGCGGAGAGGGGGGGGGAGTCGTAGTTGACTAGAGAAATATGTCGTGACAATTTGGGCTTTTTCCTGCTTTCAGCGGCTGCGCTATCACAACATGTTTAGAGGACCCCTTTCTGGAGGAGGGGACCGTAATTGCTCGTGGACCGCCTTGCCTCCATCGCGTTTATTCGGTGAGGGCCTAACCCGTTTGTATGGCGATAAACTGAGGAATTCGACCACCCCTGCTCGACGACAAAATCCCGGGGAAGGCGGGAGGGGAGGGGGCTGGAGGATCTAAACCTTCGGCAGAAGTGGAAATGGTGGTAGGGAGTGGGAACTCTCGAGAAGTACGTGGACAGCATGGGGAAAGAGGAGTGCCGAGCTAGAGAGGGACCCTCCCGCTAGTTGTGCAGAAGAGGAGCTTGAGGGTCGGTCGTATTTCGCGAAAGTTTTCCCAGACAGAACTCGTCCCTGGATTGGATGTTACTGTTTTTTTAATTAAAATCGGGAGAGTTTCAACAGAACATCGGGCCACGCTCCTGGACAGTTTGACTGCACCAATGAGTATGTCATCAGAATCATTTTTCTTATCACACCACTTCACTCTCTTAAAATTTCCCTCCTTTGAACCATCATTATAGTTATTTAGTCGTTGGAACCTTACCTTTGGATACCTTCCATGAAGATAAGAGTTCATATAACCTGCTCCTAAACCGATGGACAAAACGTTGGATTCCACTTGTCGATTCATTTCAACTGCACCGCTAACAAACATTTCTTCTGGAAATTTTGATTTTATATTTTCTCGTCAATATTACACTATCCCGTAGATGTGTTATCCTACTCTGAAACAATGCTGCAGAGTATTGCCTCCTCAATAGTTGGAAGATCAATCTCGTGCCAATCTCAGCCATCGTTTCGGTCGCGATGGTAGTTTCCACTTGCGTGCATCGTCAGAGCGAATTCGCCCCTCGTCTTCCGTCTTGACCGCCGTAGGCGAGAAGAGGAGAGGCGCGCCAATGACGTCATCTCCTAGCTCCGCCCACCTGACTAACTCGAATGGTTTCTTTGAGGCGCCATTATTGCCATTTTTACACTTGTTAACTTGACACTGTTTGAAGAGCTGAACCCTCATAGAATGAGAAAAACTCTCACCAATCATTAGAGGAGTGTAGCAATAGAAGTTCAACGAGGTTTTGTCTAGTTGCCATTTCGCAGTGTCGAGGTAGTTTTTGCTCAGCTCTGCAATAAAATAAGTCCATTTCGATTATGGCAAGACATTTCATAACACCGTCAACTTTCGCCGCTTGCCGCAAAGGCAGCCATGGTCCTTGGCCGCGACACGCGACCGACTCACCTGTGCTCGGTCACCACTACACCGTGCATTGCACGGGCGCCTCATATGCCACCTCTATGGTCGAGGAGAATCGGTTCGCATCTGGCAGCCTGCAGGCGGTCGGTTTTCACTGTGGAACTTCATGAGTCACCCTTGACGAGGGGAAAATGTGTCCTGACTGATCCAGGACCTGACGGGGAACTACAAAGACTGGCCAATGTCCCACCTACACACACTCTTTTAGGGAAGGCCCTTCACCTTCCTTGTCAGAACGACCTCGACCGCATGGAGCAGGAAGACTACAGCCAACATAATGGAGCCCGGACCAGTTGCTGGACAGCCCTCTGATTAGGGCGGTCCAGGATGACAATCACCGATGTGGTGAGGTTTCGGCGTCATAGAAAGTATGTATAATTACAAGTTATAATATAACGAGTTTGGCTGGTGCACACTACCGCGCACGTGACGTGATAAAGCAATGCGAAGTGATTTACTTCAGTGAATCACGATTAACATAATTTCTATTTACTTGAAATCATGACAAATTCAATGAAAGGAACAGGGGAAAGAGTGAGGGCCATCAAGAATTGCAACAGAATGAATGTCTGCTGGTGCACACTCTCACATGCATCACACGGGACTCCTACAGAGTATAATACCGACAGCGTATCCTCACACTGTAGCGTGGACCTGATGACCCTAACCCCCTAACCCTCCTACAAAGTTTAAGCAATCTTCCTCTCCTGACTATGAGATATCATTTTTTTTGTCCAAAACACAATGGGGAGCGTACTTAACGCTCAACTTCTTTGGTTGGAGATTTTTGATTTTCCCTGTTTCACCCACATTATATCCTTCCCCCCATCGACGTTTTTGGAAGTAGGTGGTAAGGAATGAAGTAAAGATAACTTCTTATCTATTCCTATCCTATCCACTGATATAGTCCGCCTGTCACCTGTAACCAATGTCCAAATCACTGAACCTTTATAATTTGTTAGTGTGAAAGAGGCCATCTCTGAAGAAGAATGACGGCGGCCTTCATCAGAATCTATCAGTTGTTATCCCTCTCTGTCACCGAATAGTGATATCATCGTCACATCCCTCATATCACCTGCTGGAACCAAGTTCCTACTGTTACTGTGACGGGCGCTATGAATCAAGTGACGCTTGGGTTCTATTCCCCTTTTTAATCCCCTTTGTAGGATCTTATAGTATTCTGACGACTTTTGCAACCTTATTACAATAGGTGTTCTTGCCTCATGCTCGCATCATATTCTTGAGAACCCAAACGTCGCCACCGTTTGCTGCGATTAGCGCTACAAAATTCGTTGGTCGTTCCTTTTAGCGCCTCCTTATACAGCTCTTATTCGAATGTTACCACTCTTCTGCCATCCAATAATGTTCCACCTTCACCCCCTGACTCGCTTACACTTTAAACTCACTTTGGCTGAATCAAATAAAGTTATGAATTTCCGGTCAAATACACACGCACACATACACCAACAGACAGACTTAGCGGATTATATATACTAGGATAATAGTTATATACAGTTATTAATAATTACATGGTTCTGAATCATGCGGGCACTGCCACCATTTCGTATGTGGCTACTCTGATTCGTTACCTCTAAGGCTGTGCGGGTTGAGAACCCCATGGCCAGGGCGAGAGGCGCCCCTTCTCCTCTAGAGAGAGAGGAGAGGGAGAGAACAGAGAAGGAGAGAGAGAGAGAGAGAGAGAGAGAGTAATGGGCCCTATGGGGCATCTAGCTGACAATCCAGTGCACGGAAAGTTTGAATTTGTGACCGCCGCCGCCGACCACAAACACTGTACCCTTCTGCGGTTGGTCTATGAATTTGGACAGTTGTATGCGAATTCATTCAACCGTGTCCCGCTGGAAGAAGCCGCTGAGTGTAAGCTGAGAAGGAGGGCTTGTTGGTCCAGTCTAAGCTCATAGGTAATACGGTTTAAAAATCAGAACTGCGTGTGGTTTGTTGACTTACTGAACAGAGAAGGGGGACAAGCAACGGAAAAAAGCGCCCGGAATTAGACCCTCTTAATTGCAAATGATCATGATCACCGGACGAGGTGGCCAAGATCAATTACGAATTGCGAAAGGCGGCGATACACTGAGAGGCCAGAAAATGACGGGCGAGAGAGCGCAATGGCAGTCTCACAACGACACGGTCACTGGAGGCCGGCATGGGCCTATCGGGCGCAAATGGGCCTAAAACCTGAGCGCCCTGCGTTTTGCTTGCTGTTTTTCAACTTTTAAAAGCAGCATAGCCTCTGACGTTGCCTGCTTGACCATCGTGCACGGTTATGAGAACCTAGCCTTAGTTTATCGCGGAACGTGCCTTTAAGTTTTTGCTGCTTATGAGGATAGAACTTGATAGGTCCAGCTCTTTGCGGGTTTGGGGAGAGTCGGCGACGCTGCGGAATCTGAAATCGCAGATTGGGAGGCCAATAAGACTAGGTAGAATTCAACTTAGAGCTCCGCCCATTGTCCGTCTCGTGAAAACAGAGAAGAAATCAGAACGTATACATTCCTTTCCCTTTTCCGTGAACTCTGCGAGTCTTTAACTTTCTCGTGTACGAATGCCGATCTAAGGCAGACCTGGCGCTTAACTAACTCGTAGAAGTTTTTCCTGCCTCCTTACTCATTGTGGATAAAAGAAGGGCAATCTTCGAGATTACCTACCGGACTACTTGGGTAAGGGAGGAACTCAAGTAGTTGATTCATTGCGCGACTGCCTGAAAGGCAAGTAGCACGATAACTCCCAATACGTGTAGAATCAATACTCCTAGCAGGACAGACGGCGCCCCGACCAGGCGCTGCGTGGCGCCTTTTCGGAGGGAGGTTCCCTTATAGAGCCTTATCAAGCTGCACCACACCCACCCTGACGCCCACCGCACCCGTCGCCCAAAAATCCGAAAGTGCTGAGTATGATATGAAGCTAAAAGACTGATATGAGTGAAGGCTGTGTTGCATGGATACATGAGGACATTCAAGCAGCCTTACCCATCCTAGCGGTTATTGGCACGATGCCACCGGGAGGGTCGTCCTTAAGGCTGCGTTTATACTTTGCGGCAGCGTAGCGTAGCGCTTCCAGCGTACGCCAGCGGCAGTGTCGGGGAAAGGATAGATATCGATCTAGCGTTCCCAGCGTCACCAGCGTACGCTAGCTAGCGCACGCTAGCGTAGCGAGGGCACGGGAAGCATAGCTATCGATCTAGCGCTCCCAGCGTTTCACTAGCGTTTCGCTAGCGCTTGCAGCGACGGGGCTACAGAGGAGCTAGAGAGTATAGAAGAGCAGGAGAGTATTTTGTACTAATTGCTTCCTGAGCTATGTAGAGCAAAGGCTACACTACGGTTTTTTATAAAAAAAACCCGAAACCTCACCTTGAGGAGCCTTCAAATTCATTGCTGTAACTTCTTTCCCATCGTAATAGACACTTCGATAGAAGTAGTACCTAAAACCTTTTGTTCGCATTTCTGGGTGGACTTAGACTAATTGCCCGAAGTTCCTCGGTCACGGTACGTAGTCACTTTGTAGAGGAATTTTTGTTAAGTACGTCTACTCCATCCCTCCTCCTTCGAGCATTCTCTACCCTATGGGACCTCTTTCGTAACATGCTGCTACGACTCCCAACCCACTCTCCTGCCGGATTTGTACAAGCTATTAGCAAACTTTTCCTGAATATCGCGGCCAATGGGCTTGTGTGAGCCACTGTCCCTGACGTCAGCCGCTTCAGAACATTCTCCCCCCCCCCCCCCAAGGAACTCTCCAAAAGCGAACCTCTGCTTCAGCTAATAATCATGACTTCCAGTGTGCGTTCCACATAAAATGATGTACAGGGTGGGGCTAAAAGGAACAGGCGCCCTTACGGTCACAACCTTGAACGGGACTCTTGATGGAACGTGGTATCCGGTGCGAAACGGGAAAAGTGCAGTAGTGCGGGAAACGCGGGGGGAACGGGTTGGGGGGGGGTCATGGAGGACCATTAAAAAGCTTTTAAAATATTCAAACGATCGCGTAACTCCATCCTCAAGTTGCCTCGCATTATCAAGAATCGTGACACATGTCCCGTCATCCAAGCATATGGAGTCTTCACTGAAAACATTTTTCTGGTGAAGAAAAGCGAAAAAGGGTGGGTGACCCTTTTTTTCCTCTCCTGAAACGCTTCCGAGTGTACTGGAAGAAAATAAAGGGCACGCTCCGCGATTTCCGATAGAAGGCAGCAGGTTTCAAGAATGAAATCGCGTGAGCTTATCGGCTAAGAAGTGGAAGAAGAAACCCTTCGAGGGACCGTCTGAAGTCCTCAGATCTCTCACCCCATACAAGAGAAACAGCGGGACGAAAGGTGAAGCCCTCCAAGTGGAGGCGAGATCACATTCGCCACACAGAGATCGCGCAAGGGAAACAAATTGGGTGACGCTGACCCTCGACCGGCGGACGCCCGTCATTATTTTTTTTTGCTCACAACAGTTCCTGCACTTTTGCCACCCACGTCGAGCTACAATACAACCTACTCTCAAGGGAATGGGTCACATTGTGCAGCGAAAGGCTCTACACATTGGGTGGTCAAAAAAGTTTCCATAAATTGATAAAATCAAATTTACCGCAAGAGACTGAGCTGCAAGCAAAACACTTAACCTTAACCCAGGCAGAATTAATACTTGTACCACCTGCACAGCAGGCTAGTGTGCTAACCATGAACCATGAAAACCAGCACGCCTTGCTAAACTAGGGAATCGAAGAATTGGCGACTTGCAGAATTGGAGAAATCGGCGAAACCACGAGAAAAAAACTATACAGGGGGGGCC